ATTTACCTCTGCATCCTAACTCAAGCTACTATCAAATGTGCATTTCTAAGAGACAAGTGATATTATTATTAATATTATCAGGCAACCCAAATCTGTTTCTTGATTTGAAACAATATCCCTCATTAGAACATGCAGAAACGAAGATTTTTTTTTTTCTATTGGGATTTATTTTAAGGAAAATTAATGGTCTGGTTTCTACAACTTTCACTTTGGAGCAAAAATCTGGCTTTAAACTTGAAAGAAATAAAGATTTGACATTTATCGTGATAATTATCGATATCAACTGATATGAAAAAAATTATCGCGATAATTTTTTTGGCCATATCGCCCAGCCCTAGTCTGAATGATGAATGGTTTCTTTTCAGGTTGTTGGTTACGGAGTAGAAGAGAACGACCCTCCTAGTGAGGAACATCCGGCCGCTGGAAAAGAAGAGGAAGAGGGTAGTAAGATGTCATTGTATGGGGAGGTTTCCAAACTCACCTTCCTTCCTGCTTCCACTTTACTGGCCTCAGTCACTACCATCACAGACACCCAGGCCTTCACTTCCACCCTCAATCTCTACCCTTACCACAAAATTCTCAAATAAACAAAAGCATGGACTCACTCTGCCAGCTGGCACACAGGCACGCACCCCCTACCTCCATCTTCCATCCTTTCTTCTTGTCTACTTGAGCAAGGATGAGCAGGGGCCGGCGGTCTCCCAATGCTCCCGTTCTTTTGAAACGAGCTTCAGCCATGTGTGCGTTCATATAATGAGCCCTGCTGTTAAAATGGCATTGCTGTGAATGTTGTGTGTGCGTGTGTGCGTGCATGAATGGGGCTCAGTTTGGGGGTCCTGCTGACAGACGCAGATCACAAGGTCTCATTATATATCCCTCCTTGGCTGTAGTGGAGCTTTAGAACATAAACATGACTTCAAACTACTCAGAATTGTGTGTATTTTATTAATAGGTCTGCAGTGTTAAGTTTGTACTAATACATTTATAAAGTTGTGACACTGTGCTGAAAAGTATGAAATATATTTGAATGAAGTGCAGTAAGAGAGATTGCTGGACTGCTTTTTATGTAGCCAGTTGATGATGCCTGATACTGAGGATGTGTAATGGTGCTTCAGAGGTGGGCATTTGAGCATGCAAGACCAAAATGATGATGCTTCTATTACTGCTATAGCATCATTCTGCATTTGGCACAACCTCAACTTGTAAACTGAGCAATTGCTAATATCACTGCTTAAATTCAGAATGTGCAAATATATATTTATTAAAAGTACCGTGAAGCTACTAGCTCGATTTTACCTGAGTGTTGAATGTTAGTTTGCTGTCTGTATCAAAGGATAAACAATAAAAACATCATGTAGGCTGCCATGGAATAACGGAAAGAAACGTTCATTGCTGAAAAGTATGAAATATATTTGAATGAAGTGCAGTAAGAGAGATTGCTGGACTGCTTTTTATGTAGCCAGTTGATGATGCCTGATACTGAGGATGTGTAATGGTGCTTCAGAGGTGGGCATTTGAGCATGCAAGACCAAAATGATGATGCTTCTATTACTGCTATACCATCATTCTGCATTTGGCACAACCTCAACTTGTAAACTGAGCAATTGCTAATATCACTGCTTAAATTCAGAATGTGCAAATATATATTTATTAAAAGTACCGTGAAGCTACTAACTCGATTTTACCTGAGTGTTGAATGTTAGTTTGCTGTCTGTATCAAAGGATAAACAATAAAAACATCATGTAGGCGGCCATGGAATAACGGAAAGAAACGTTCATATGGATGCATCATTGGATCATTGTTTTAATAGAGTCCGTATCGAAATGAACGTTTTATCAGTAACGGCTGGCCATGTGACAGCGTGTCATTAAAGACGCATTTATTTATTTATTTTTTAATTAAGGAAAATTTATAAGAGAACATTCCAAATATGTGCACATGATATTATAAAATGTATCATATATAAAAGCCAGTGGGGGTGGACAGGGCTCTACCACTGCACTAACACAATTCTGTAGAAAACACGTAAATAAAAATCACACTCTACACTTCTGTTAATTGAATATCCTGTTTTATCTGATTACAGAAGTAAAATGTGTTGCAAATAATGTTTCATGTTGACTGTCGAAAATGTGCCATTTACAGTAGTATAGCAATATATTATAATGTGAACTGTATATGGATGTGATTTATACTGTATGTGATGTCATTTTAAAAAGCGTGCCCTCAACTCTCCAAAGGTGACCTTAGATTCAGCTGAAAATACGTGGAGAATTGTCAAAGTGCCAACACTTACCAGGCACCACATGGAGTTGGCATTGTGTTCTCCTTGTCCAGGCAGGTGGCACATAGCAGCACAGCAAGATAGTTGATCTCTTTGTGCTCCAGAATAGCTCTTCTTCTCTCACCACCCCGCCTTTCGTTGTTCTGATGTCCTGAAGCGCTCTGTAAAGGTGCGGTACACTGGCTAAAGTTTCATCAGTCTGCTGAAAGTGGCACAGTTTTAGAGGGATCACATTCTAAATATTTAGACTGTCTTGGCATACACTGCCTGCCTTTTGTAGTTACCTTAGATGATTCGTCACTACGCTGTCACTTCCTCTCACTCCTGCAGGGTGTCTTAATTGACAAGCTGCTTGAGTGGGAGGAGGTGTAGCTTAAGACAGAAAACGGTTGGATAATATTAATAAATAAGGCAGATATATGGGAAAAGACCTTCCCGCTGTACAGGGAGTTCTCTCAGTTTTACTAATGGAGCTGTGAGTCTCGCTACTCTTACGGATCATGTTATATATAAGAAGGACATGAATTATGTGCCTCCCGGCAGCAAAGCACAGGGAATGAAACAGGGCTTCTGTAAGGCAGGTTAATTGGGTCTGGCCTTTTGATACTGAGATAATGGCGTCTAATGCTAGATTCAGACAGCCTAATTTAATTCATTTAAGAATTCATAGTTGTAATTATAACTTTTTTTTATTTTGTGGAACCACACTATTATGAATTTAAAAAGATGAACATTATCATCAGTGCTGGGGAATAACTGATTTCATGTAATGTGGATTAGGTAATCAGATTCCAAAAATGTAGTACTCGTAATTAGATTACATTTTAAAATGATCGTAATCAGATTACAGTTACTTTTTATGGATTACATGTTAAAATTCTACTGTGTGTCATATCATTTAGCTTTGAATATTCACAATATAGAATGGACATGTAAATTAATTTGCAATCCATGCTTCTGAATCTGGGGACAATAGCACCTCTCAGTCAATTATACCAAGTTAATATTTCAATAATTTAACAACACATTTGCATGTTCACAGTTCTCTGATGTCGGTTAATGGTCAATGACATGCAGGTGAACAAATAAAATAATGTAGAATGCAGAATAATGTAGTTTTTGAGTTTATTCATTTTCATTTTACATTTTTATTATTTAAATCAATATTATCTTTTCATCAACTCATAAATCCTCTGCAGTTCCTTCATTTACTCTAATGCATTTCATGATAACAAAGAATGGAATTTCTTAAGGCTTTTTATAACTAATCCCATTTAAATCTATAAATAAGTCAGGTCAAAAGTAATCTAACAGTAACCAAAATAAGAATACAATTCCTAAAATTAGTAATCTAGATTACATTACTGAATACAATTTTCATTGTGCAAAACAGATATGTAAGTAATCTACACAGCACTGATTATCATTCATATAAAAAAGCACCATAAACTATACAAACGTCTACAAAAGATGATAAACAAATTATTTTTTTTGTATACTTCACGTGTTGTAAGAATCTTGTTCAAGACCTTGACCTGCTTATCGAGGTGGCATTTTAATGAAATCATTTCTTTGCGTCTAAAGACAAGTGTAATGGCAGTCAGGAAGGAGGGAATGGCATTCCCGTGTCGTGTGCAATATTTAATTAGAAAGATGTCAAATAACAAGCAAGGCAGCTTTGCACTAAAGCACTTTACCTACATTACATGCATTGACACAGATGAGTTGAGAAGGCTTTTAATCTCCTTCATTCAGCATTATTACAGATCCCCTGTGCTGGTACTATTCTAATTTATGCAACAAACCCCTGCCAGCCCTCATAATCAAATCTGTCAATGATGTGGAACCTTGAGAAAGGATTTGCATATGGGCATGCTTGTGTCTTCATTTACATCAAACTTCATTAATCTTCCCTCATACTGGAACGTTTGTACACACAAGGTATTTTAATTAGTTTTGCATGTTGCTAAAAACTAATTGAGAAATTGGAATATTTAAAGGGAAAGTTCACTAAAAAAAAATTCGGAATTTTCATTTTTTGGGTGAACTATGCTCTTAGTTAGTTGAATATTAAATTTAAGTGTTCATTTGGTCCAGTCATGCAATATGACATATGCAATATAGAATCAGTAGACCAGCATGGTCTGTTTTAAATAAGTGGTTTGGAAAAGTACATTTTAGTGTTTAGTGTATTTATATTATAAATTTGTGTACTGTTTGTTTATTGTAATTGTAATTTATAAAAGCCCTCCTAGGGACAAATGTTGCAAATTAGCTTCGGCTACAAGCACTATGGTACATGCATGGGATGATTGTTTTTACATTTTCATCTATGTTTATTGTATCTGTCCCTAACAAATAAAACATTAAATACAATTTTGAAGATCTATCTGCCAGTTTCTTGCAACAACACTGATACATGAAAAAGCCTGTTAAAGTCTACTTCTTAATATATCATTTATATAAAGTGGTTAATTTGGCTTGGATATAGTGTTGTTTTATTTGTTATTATAGTTATTTGGGGATAGATAGATAGATAGATAGATAGAAAATGAGCATATTATTTAAAAAGAAAAGGCTATATTCTTCATTAGCCAGCCACCAATCAAATGTTTTGCAGCCTATTTTACTTTTATGTAACCAACAGATTCTTTTAAATTATTATTTTATTCATATTTCCTAATTACCTGACTATTATAAACTCACCAAGCACGTTTCTAAGTGATAAAGCCAAGTGTCATGTTCTTTCTACAGTATATTCTCTGGACGGTGGTCATGTTAAACATGACGCACGCTCGTAGGACGACGCTTTGCTCTAGTTTAACGTCTGTAAAGGTGTGGGTTCATTTACTGACCCTTTCCGCGCGTGCAGCATCATCTCCTCACAGGCTGTTGCATGCTCTTGAGGGACCGTCGGCGCTCTTCACAGCCTGCACACTACATACCGGTCTCTGATTCGCAATCTGGGTAATGCCACTCATTCATTTGCGAGCTCGGATGTGCTATATTGTCTCTCACAGCATACACGCGGCTGTTCGCAGGGATACTACGGAATTACAGCCGCAACAAATGATGATGTGACGGCCATCCATTCAGATAATAAAAGCCCGCTGTGCAGTGGACGCTGCATTTCTGCTAACGAAGCAAAGCCTCAGACGAGCCTTTCCCAGATGAACAGATACAGTAGTGTTCACTACTGACAAGCATCAGTCATTTGGAAAAAAAACCTGCACACTGCATTACAAACATTCTGGGAGGAGGACAAACAGGTTTTAAGGTAACTGAGATGTCCTTCCATATGAGTAGACATGCACTTGTGCTGAATTGGTTTGATTTGGATTTTGCAGTGTAATGTAAGTGTTGAAGTGCCTATTCAGTCTGTAAATGTGTCAGGTTATGGATCTTGGTACATGCTCTTTTTCTGCATGAATTTAAAAAAAAATTCTTACACACATATAGTAGTAAGCAAGCATGCAACAGCCATGAAAGTGGGATCACTATACAGAACCACTGGACACAATACATTTGTGACCCTGGACCACAAAACCAGTCTTAAGTCGCTGGGGTATATTTTTAACAATAGCCAAAAAAAAAAACATTGTATGGGTCAAAATTATCGATTTTTCTTTTATGCCAAAAATCATTAGGATATTAAATAAAGATCATGTTCCATGAAGATATTTTGTAGATTTCCTACCGTAAATATATCAAAACTTAATTTTTGATTAGTAACATGCATTGCTAAGAACTTCATTTGGACAACTTTAAAGGCGATTTTCTCAGTATTTAGATTTTTTTGCACCCTCAGATTCCAGATTTTCAAATAGTTGTATCTCGGCCAAATATTGTCCTATCATAACAAACCATACATCAATGGAAAGCTTGTTTATTCAGCTTTCAGAAGATGTATAAATCTCAATTTTAAAAAAATGACTCTTATGACTGGTTTTGTGGTTCAGGGTCACATTTATGAAGGTGGAAGTATTATAAAATATGGTGATTCTGGCACACTATGGCCACCATTTCCAAATATATTTTTGTATTTTCTAATATGTTTTTTGTTTGTTTGTTAGTTTGTTGCTAGGGT